CTACATCTACAAGGCTGTTCTTTTCAATACAAAACTATATAATGCATTACAAGGTATCACAATATTTCCTACACTCAGAATGTACTGAAATTTGTGTGTGTGTGTGTGGGGGGATGTCCAGTTGACCTACCCTCAGTCTTGTAGTAAAGCTACAAATGTCTTTTATTTCTAGTCATATCATTTATCTGAGCAGCTAAAGAGTTATCAGGACGAATGATGTAATAAATATTCAAGGAGAATGCAATGTCTAAAAGAGTTTAGTAACACTATTGGTATCTATCTTACCTGTTACATAACAATTTAGCATAACCATGGCACCAAAAACATCTTTGCTAATCCACCTGATGTAATGATGGCATAATAGATACCACAAATAATTTTATTTGTTATCAGTTCATTATGACCAGTGTAGAAGATATGAATAATGAGGCAAGATAGGTAATATAACTCAAAACATGCTTTACACATCTCATATTTGGAATAATTTTCATTCCTATTGTTCATACATTCTCCTATGTCTTTTTTATTTTACAAACAAAAAGAATTTTCATATTTTCCTGTCCTGTGCATGAAACATTTAATTTTGGCTCATTGGTGACTCGGTACTTGTGGCTCCATCTATGTGTAAAAACAATTAATAAATTAACCTCACAGTGGGCATGGCATGTACATACATGCCATCCTGGGCAGCTTTGGGTTATGTACTGCAATATTTGTGAAGGTAGTGTTGTGAAAAGGTAAAACTAGTATGCAAAATCTTTGGGCAAATTTACCAATATAATAAATTTCGTTGATTACTTACTTATTCATCCTTGAACTGTGCAGACCTAGCAAAAATATTAGAAATAGAAACATGATACAAATATGTATATATACAGACTTCTCATACCTACTACTAAATAGTGTCCTATCAGAAGTAGCATCAGATGCTGACAGTAGCAGTAATTAATTAATTAATAAAAAAAAGAACCTGATACTCAAACCTAATGAACTGGTTCAAAATATGGCACCAAACTATTCTAAATTATTAGGGTCACTCCAACAAGTGGTTAAGACTGTTAAAGTGGCAAATAATCATAAATCAATCAAAAACTTAAAAGTTGGTCAAAAAGTAGTTATGCACTAAAGAGACACTGGAGATTATTAATCTAAATGTTAACATATGCTTTCCACAACACACTGGACTTTGTGCCAGGTGCTGTGCACAGTCAGCCCCTTCAGGGAAATATTAAAAGCAAAGGAACTTTGTTTCCATTCTCTCTAATATTTTAGATGCAGCGTGCATAATCTTCCAGGGAACAAGGGTAAAAAGTGATTTTAAGCCCACTTTTGAGGGGATGCAATTCTTCAGACACAGCAGTTATAACCAAACAAGTGAACAACTGTTTAGCACACACAACTTACAGTAGGGTTGAGTCATGTGGCATGGGTATACATGCCACCTAGAAAGGGAGTCTTGCCATGTTATTCTTTTATGTAGATGTCAATGTTTGACAAGGGATTAATTGATGGATATTTTTTTCAGAATAACAATTACGAAATGTTTAAAATTCAATGCTATTATGGACTTAATTTATAAATGAATCAATAAGTATAAAACTATAAAAATAATAGTAGTGTTCTTATACATAACCATTTTTTTTCATAAAAAAAAATATATATACTTACATGAAAGACATGTAGTACCTAACTATATAAAAATATTTAAAAAATGCATTAGAAAAATCAAGAAAGCATTGTTTTGGTTTTAAAACAGAAGAGATATTGTATTTTTGTTATTTATTCAAATAAAAAATCATAAAATGTTATTTACATTTAATTAATCCAAAAATACATAACAAAACCAGCAATAAAGACACAAAAGGCATTCCAGAGGTGAAAGCTGCTGCAAAGATCAAACGGCAGTTCTTGATCGATCAAAAGAGAAAGTAAAGGATGGTGAAACAGCTCTTCTAACCCCTGTAGATAAGGCATATTATGCTGAAAAGCAACAACAGCTTCAGGGGAGAGGTAACTACCCTTCTGAAGAGGTTCATCCAATTCAGGGAGGTTACCCTCTCTCTCATTTAATTCAAGCTCCTCTGTGGAAGAGCCAAATCTTTGAAAGTGTTGATGACGATCATAGTTATTTAAATTATTTATAAAGCCATCTGGGACATCATCCTCTACCTCTCTTAAGCCAAAGTTAGGGACTTCATGCATTCTGAAGGGTAATAGCATGTGAGGTTTACCTTTTTCGATGTGATCACTGCTTGAATCCTTGCCTTCAAGAACCAGAATATCTGATGCTACCTCTTGAGCAGGTGACACTGAAGAAAAACTGCTTGTACATTTGTTTACATTTCCTGAGTGTTCATTACCAGGCAGAGTAGCAATATTTGTTGACTGTGGATTAAGCACAGAATGTGATTGGTCTTGATGATAAAAATTCTCTATGTGTAAATATTTTGTATTAAAGTGGTTTAATGGATTTTTATTTGCATGCATGATGGCTGATTTTATTCCTAAATGACTGCCTAGCTTATCTTGTACCCTTGGAGCAAGTTTTTCAGGGTTCCCATCAGAAACAATTTCAACATTTACAGCTTTAATACACTTCTTCACCGGCAACTGTTTATGGCTTAAATCAAAACTGTTATGTTCTACCAACTCCTGACTTCTAACAGATTCTGTAGTCATATTTGATGACTTCAAAAAGATTCCTGGTTTCATAACCTGGACATTTCTCTGACATTCAGGTGATTCTGGGAAGAGCCCAGAGTCTAAGTGATCATCATTATATTTATCAGCTTTTCCTGAGGTAATTAACTTATCTTTTTCCATAGTCTCAATGCTAGGGGGAAGACTTATGGACTCAGGAATTGATTTTTGACAATCACTTTTTGTTTCTCTGTCTGATGGATCAATCTTTACAGTAACTTTCACTTTTCTCTGGTGTACATTCACCTCTTCAGTTCTTCCAAGAGCATAGCTGCCCAGACGTTTCTTTATCTTGGTACTTTTCTTGTCTACACGTTCTTCTCTAACTACATTCTGACTATCAGCTAACGTCTTCTGGTCTTGTTTCTTCCTTTTCTTCGGAGATCTGTCCAGACCCCCTGACTCTCCCTTAGCATCACCTGATGCGAATCCCTATTCTTGAATGTGCCGACGATGAGTGGCAGTGTGCTTCAGTTCTTCCAGCTGCTGGTGTCGACGCACTAAATCTGCCCTTCCACTCTTGATCATTCTGAAATGTAAGTGATAATACATGAGTTCATAAATCAATATGTATTTTAGATATATTTGTAGATGCATCAGAGGTGAATGAAGTAAAAATAAGCTCAAACATTCATATACTTTAAAATAAAATAGATTACAAAATATAACTGAAAACAAAATAAATCACTTAATGGGGCCATCCCTGGCAGGGGGAGGGGGGTAGTGTATGAATTGGAGTTAGCTTGCCTATGGTATATGTACATAAATGAGACTGTTAGGGCCCACCTCGGGTTATTTCTTGGGAGAAGCATGGCATTTGTAAACAGCTATTGCACCTTTTACAAACGTTTCTGGTAAATAATGCAACCTACAGACTCTACCATAGGCTGTAGGTGCCATATATACACCTAGATAACATACCCCACCCAGGCAACCAAGGATTTTTATTGATGAAAATGCGTGCATATGACTGAACATCTCTATGCTGGTTCCCCATGCTTAATGGCCACATTTCTAAAAATCATTATAGAAAATTATTTTGATCTAGGATTATTAATAATTTTTCCTTTACATAAAAATGGGTGTAGGCCTACTAAATGATGATGATTAAAATGGTTAACATTATGTGCATGTGTCTACGTACATACAAACCTCCTTGAAAATTATAATCCCCAGTGACCAGCCCTTCATTTATTTTACACAGGAGCTTCTATAACTCTCAAAAGTATTATTTTCTGATTTAGATTAGTTTTCTATATGATTTAATGCACCTAATAAACATTTCACACAGAAATAGCTACTTGATTATAATCTCATCGTAAAGTACACCAAATGAGTTTTTCTTTTTTATATATGTATAACATCATTCAATTTAGTGCGATAATAACAGAGATAACAAACTTAGTCAAGTGACCAAATTTCCAATGGCTTGCAGTACCATCCAGCAGTCCTAATTTTCGTGTACCTCGAAATTGGTTGGTTGCATTTTCAAGAATATTGGAATGTGAGGGTATGTTAGGTCCCAATTCTTAAATTTCAGAAACTGAAAAGATGCCCCAAAAATAGTTCACAATAACAAACACCCCCCTCCCCCCTATAAAAAAAAATTATGGAAATTAAAGAACTGGGATCCAAGATGCCCTTCCCATAGAGTTGACCAAACTGGGGAATATGTTTTAGGTAATTCAGGGAAAAGATACAGCCTGTGGATGGTACTGTGGGCAGTACTATTATGAAAAAAACAATAATAATAAAAATAAATAAATAAATATATAAATAAATAATAATAATAATTTGCATAAATTTTGGGGGGCTTATGCTACCCTATGCAGAGACAAGGTTAAAAGGATATACAAGAAAATTATATACTCTATAACATGCAAAAAATGTATTAGTTATCTAAAACTTCTTTTTATGAGCAAGATAGGCCTCAGCTGGAAAGATCCCCTTAAATGAAATGACATAATATTTCCTTTATATACACCTTCCTCATGATTTTTCTTCTCAGAATCACTCTATGAAAATGCTCATAACAAAATTTAGCACCTTATTGTAGACATACACACAAGCACAGCAAATGATTATCCATAACTCACAAAACTCACAACTAAAGACAACTTGATAACTAGTAAAACAATTACTTACTTGGCCTCCCAATGTCTGAGCTCTTGTTCATATTGTTCCCTCTGTTTTTTCGCGCGCTCACGGAATATCTCCTGTTCCTCTTCCGGCAAACGACGCCACCTGCTTGCAGCACCAGCAAGGAATTCCTGAAAGATAACACAGTTTATGCTCTCATCCTATCAAAAAATCACTAACTGATTATAGAATAATTATTATTGATCTTGTATGTATTACAATCATCATCTTTTAATTATCTTTGAATTCACTCATTCACTCTGTGCATCCTCTTGGTGTTGCTTACAAGGCAACACTCATTGCCCACACAAACCTACCCACACCCACAACCACACCCCCACTTACACATAAAATGAAGCCAAATCTTGAAGCCAGGAAACCCTTACCTTGAGAGGAGCATCTCCTCTGTCTAAGGAGAGGAGGTACAAGGTGAAGGCATTACCAGGGTGCTTTGGTTTTCCCAGTTCTTCGGTTTCCTTCTTTTTGTCCCTCCTCATCTGGCGTTTCAACTTGTCCTGAGATCTTTTTCGCTTCAGGTCTTTCATGCTCTCAATCTGCTGTGGTGTGAGCTTCTTCATGTACTCCTTATATCTTCAGGGAGGGAGAGAGAGAAAGAAAAAAATGTAGAGTTCATTCATTGTGAATTTATGAAGAACATTCAAGACTATTCTTTGCAAATATTATTCAAATATGTAAACATGTAAATACATTAACAGATTTGGAAATACTTTGTGCCTCTCTCATGTATTCATATGAAATTATTAATATGCAATTCATATTTGCAATGAACAGGCCAAACAACAGAAACGTTTCTTATTTACTACCCCTTTCTAGTGAATTTAAAAACTATTCATGCTTTACATATATGTCAGACTGTACTTAGAATGTAGCTCTGTAATACCAGTTTGATATTAGCATATTTTTCCAAAGTTACATATATATATATACAGGTTTAATTTTTGGACTGGTAAAATTTCTGACCAGATGTAAACATCTAAAGTATAAGACAAAGACAAGATTTGCTACTGCTTATGGTTCATCACTATATTCTACATCTCATATGTAGATAATTTGGCATATTACTTTTGCTATCACAGTATAGTATATGAGTAATATGCAATATGCAAGCTGGCCATTATGCATACATCTAACACAACTGAGAACTTACTCTATGTCATAAGTTTCTTTGTCTTTAGTGTAAAGTAAAGACCACTTGCTCTTCTCTGGCAAACCGAGTTCATTCCAGAGAGATGCCAATTTTGCCGTCAACTCTGAAAGAATTTGATAACCAATTTATTGTAAAGGACACTTAAATACTCACACAAACCTGGTGTCATTTCATCAAACATATACCACATACTTTAAAATGGGACATTACAAAAGCATATTACAAGAACCAATAAACTCACCTTTCTGCACCATATCAAACTGAGGAGCAATACAATCATTATAAAATATATATAACACATCACACATTGAATTTTGTCTCCCCATACACAATACTGAATAATGAATAATCATTTGGAAAAAGTGAAAATGAACCTTACGAGGTGAAGTGAGTTCAGGAAATTTTCTCTTGACTTCCTGGCGATGTGCATTCACAAATCGTATGTATGGAGTCATGGGTCGCTTTGGGGGCTCTGGCAGGCCAAGCTCCTGGGCTACAGTTTGTTTCTGTGCCACTGCCAAAACACTGCAAAATAAAGACAAAAGATTTAGACTGTATTTTTATATTTGACAATGTAAAATAATTGTAATAATGATAGTAATACTATGAACATAAGCAATAGTAGTATTACTGACAATGAAAATAATGATAATAATAGTAATAATAATAACAATAATAATAATAATAATAATAATAATAATAATAATAATAATAACAATAACAATAATAACAATAACAAAATAACAACAACAAAACAACAATAATAAAAATGATTATTATTATCATCATCCTCATTACTTTTATCATCATAACAAGAAAAAAACAGTAATCACTTAATAACAGATTGATCTGCATGCCCCATGATCCAGCAAACCTTACAAACATCCAAGTGCAAAAACAGGATCTATTCAAATGTAAGGCCGAGTAAAGCTAGACTTTTTCTAACTTCTTTCGTAAATCATTAAATTACAGCCTTCATTTCAGACATTACTCTTTGCCTGGGCGGACCGTTTCATATAACTGCGAGTGTCCTTGGATTCGCTCTAATTTGCTCTAATTACGGTCATTAGGGAAGCTAAAACCCTTGGACAACGATAAACCAAGGAGATCCGTTTGCTCTTCCGAATCAGGATGCCCATGACAACGGATGCCCATGACAACGGATACCCATGACAACGGATGCCCATGACAACGGATGCCCATGACAATCAGGATACCCATGACAACGGATGCCCATGACAATGGATGCCCACGACAACGGGTGCCCATGACAACTCGTCCCGGTGGCAAGGAGCGCGGAGGCAATCTCTTGATATCGCATCTCTTTTGATGACTGCCTGTGACGTTATCATTCTTATGAGGCCAATTTCTGCCGATGGTTCCTGCGAATTGTAATGACAAAACCTACGTGGAAATAGATCAAAGGGCATCCATTGATTACTCGCCTGTCAGATTACGCACTTTACAGCCTCTTACATTTAATTACAATGACA